ATACATTTCAATCCAAGCAGGGTGGATTAGTAACTTATCTTGAATTCGAGCAGGGTGGATTCAAGGTTTGAGTAGGGTGAACCAATTTTTAAGGATATGGTACCACATGCATAAGAGTCTAGTTAATATTATGATTCTCATTGCATAATTTAAATGATGAACATGTGATTGGATTGAGTAGGTTGATGGATTAGGTGTGAGAATGATGTTGTTGGAATATTGTGATATATGTGTAGATGTTTGTATTCTATCTTGCAGCTTATACCGTTTAATTATTGAAATGAATCCTCACCCATTTTGTTTTGGTGCTGTCCACCATGGACATCTTGTAGATGATAAGGAATAGAAGTTATTGTTGTGAGTAGAAAATAGCTTTTGAAGTTATTTCCATTTAGTTTCATTATTTATTTAATTGTTATGCTATGATCATGTAACATTGGGACTGAGACGTTTGTTTTAATTTTTGAATTAGAATTAATGTTTTGAGGAGCTTTTATGACATTTATTTTAATATGGAGAACAAACATGATTGTGTCGAGTATTTTAATTTGATTTTCCAACGCTATTTGAATAAAGTTGAGATGTTTTAAAGTTGGTAACACTTTAATTAGTGTTTAACATTTTTTATATAAGTTTTGGGGGTTAGGGTATCACAGTGTGTGCCAAAGAAAGGTCACTTGACAATAGTGGAGAATGAAAAGAATGAGTTAATACCCAATAGAGTTATCACCAGATGAAGGATATGCATGGATTATAAGAAGTTGTCATATATATATATATATATATATATATATATATATATATATATATATATATATATATATATATATATATATATATATATATATATATATATATATATATATATATATATATATATATATATATATATATATATATATATATATATATATATATATATATATATATTGATATTGGTGTGTATGTGTATGTATGTGTGTGTGTAATATCCGTAATAATATGTCTAGAATAACAACTAGTGATATAAATTATTAGTACGATAATTAATATGTCAGGTAATAAATTCTATGAAGGTAATATGACTTTGAAGGTAGACATCAGAAAATCCTCTGATACTTTATATTAACAATATCTTATTAAATTTTGTATTTAATTTGGGGTTGGTCAAATGTTATATGATTGAATACTTACCATTCTACACTCAGTCAAATTATCAATCATGATAAATGAAAAAGCTGCAGGATTTTTTTCTTGCTCTAGAGGAGTGAGCTAAGGAGATCCTCTGTCTCCCTTGCTCTTATGCATTATAGAAGAAGAACTTAGTAGGATATTATCTATGTTGGTGGATCATGGTAAGTTGACATGCATATCAATTGGTAATATAATTATTCTTAGCCACATTATTTTTTGTAGATGACATTATGATATTTTGCAAAGCCATCAGAAAAAGTGATCTAGTCATTAACCATCTCCTTCAAGAATACAGTCAAAATTATGGTCAACACGTCAATCCAACTAAATGTAAGTTTTATGGTGAAGTTACTTTTGGATCTAGGTCGAGGCATGTTGCAGATATGATTGTATTCACTATAGGAAAGACACCTTATAACTCTCTTAGAGTTTCTTTATTCAAATCTGAGCCTAAAACTCATCATCTTTAGATCATAGCAGATAAATTATTGGCAAAGCTAACTACGTAGAATAAAAACCTTCTTTCTATGATGGACAGGGTTTAATCGGTCTAGTAATTGATACAAGGCTTATTTATTTATAAATGTCCAATCAATCTTCTTAAAAAACTAGATTCATCATTAGAAATTTTGTATGGGCAAGTAGCATAGACAGTAGAAAGTTGATTACTACATCTTAGAAGTTTATTTTCTCACCTTTGTGTAAAGGAGGTATTGGTTTGACAGATATTAATACAATAAACAAAGTTGGTTATTTATCTATTTTTCTTGAAGTTGTTGAATATCAATAATCAATGGTCTTTTATGCTTATTAGTAGATACTTCTGGCACAAAATAACAAGCATGCATCCTATTTCTTCTTCAAGATGGCCTAACATTAATCTTTCCTTTTCATTTATAGAGGAACATAGTAGATGACAAGTTGGTCATGGGAAAAACATTTCTTTATGGATTGGCATTTGGTTGAGATACAATATTAAAGATTTACACCTAGTATTTTCAGCGGATATTAAATTTATGCAAACCGCTATTTTCAATTGAATTATCCAAGACATCAATTAAGAAATTCTTCATAGCTTATCCACTTTGGCTCCACAATATATTTTAAGACATTTTGAAGATTAACTTGTCATTTGATAATACTATTGCTTGTAAACTCACTTGGATAGGTTCTGCGAATGGCGATCTATCTTTTAAAGATGCATGTGATTTTATCAAGAGGGATTACATCGAGCTTCCTTGGACAAAATTCATTTGGCATCCCTACATGTTGGACATGAGACTCCATATACAAGAGGAGATTGAATTGTGGAGGTTTGAAAAAAGATGGTTAAAATCAAAATCTTTAGGAAAATCAAATCTTAAAAACGTTTGTGAACAAACAGGTAAATAAACATCAGAATAAAAAGATAGAAGGAAATATAGAGGGAAGTAAATAATTTAAAAGTAAAAGAGATAAGGGGAAGATAAAGACACCAAATATTTATTCATATTCAGATTAATTACTTGACATAATTTTGTCCCTAAAAATTCTTCGTGAGAGTTTCCACTATATTGCGTGCTTTCAATAGGATATACCCACGAACCTCCTTTTACAAGGATTTGAAGTTTTTCAATGACTAACTTTCAACCAACAAACAAAAAAAGTTTTGAATGAATATCTTCTAAATAAAGATAGAGTTTTGTACCATCTATCCTCTAAACTGAAACTGGTTTTTACACGAGTTAACCTCCAAACGGAGCTGAGATTTTACATAGACTAATTTCGAACCAAGAAGAGATTTTGGAGAGGCTGATCTTGAACAAAGATGAGATTTCACCCAATCTAATCTTGAACCAACAAAGCTTTTAGATCAAACAGATCTTAGGAACCTTTATGGGGATTTTGATGGTTAATCTTCGCAATACAAAAGAGAGCTTTTGTTGCATGCGAAACTCACAAATCAAACAGAAATTTTCTAAGACAATCCCTAAATCAAACAAGAGCTTTTACTAGTTTAGCTCACAACTAAACAACTTTTTATGGAGGAATACTTTACTCAAGAGATAATACACTACTGTTTTAGCTCACTTAAAACAATGATCCTAACTAATCAGAAGAATGACGTCGAAGCACTAATGGCCAAATATAAGTGAGAAAACAAGTGATTTAGAGGAAAACATGAGAGAATGAGAAAGTACGATCAAAGATTATTTTTTGAAAGTTTTGAAATGATATAGGATCTCTCTATTTATAGGTCAAAATATGGTTTAAATTAGTAAACAATCCATGGACAAAGTATGTTCCATAATCGATTAGTCCAATCTATTATCACACAAGAAAATGATTGTTCGAACCATAAATGGAAGATTTTGATATCTAGCCGTTATCAATCATTAATGGACTAGCCCAATAAATTTTAGGTGTTACAAAGTGAAAATAATTTATTATACCTCTAAGACTAATCGATTATTCAGTTGTAAAAAGCCTTTCGGTTGATCACACAATTCCTTGATTGATTGACTAGGCCTTACAATTATTTTCAGGTGTTTTTTTCAAAATAGAGAGACACTTCTATCATCAAAATTAATCAGTTGACTGCAACTTTTCTATCAACAGGTTTCACCACTTTAGATCACGATGACAGTAACTACAAGCGCATAGATCCACATACTAAGTTATTAATGACTTGGAAATTAATGCATAATGTTATTGCAATAAAAGATATCCTGATTCGAAAGAGAATGCATATGGTTTTGAGACGATCTATCTGCAACCATGACATGGAAAGTACAAACCACTTATTTCTTATATATTGATACGATTTACTTTTTTGGCGTTAGATGAAGTGATTGTTTGACATGAACTTTAATACAACTAGTTATAAAAAAAATTTTCAAATTTGCCGGTGGAATTAGAACTCTCAAATTTAGAATTTGATAATGCCTCTCATTGTAATAATTCTTTGGAAAACATGGTGCACAAGAAATTGTACTAAGTTTTAAAATAATGACATTGACTTTGATAGAGACATTTTTTATGTTAAACAATTGGTCTACATGTCATATATTTCTTTTGAGGGACACGTGTACTCTTTAATTCACAAGTTCACAATTATTAAATATTTTGACATCAAATGTAGGCCTCCTCGTGTACTTAGAACAATAAAGGTTAATTGGTGTTTTCCTAATCATAATTGAATTAAGTGCAACACAAATAGAGCTTCAAGCGGAAATACTGTAATATAAACTTGTGGTGGCATATTTAAGAATATTCTTGAGAGTTTTTTGTTAAGATTGGACTTTGCACCTCCTTTCAAGCTTAATGAACTAGATGTAACCATGCTTGCTATCAAATATGCTAACAAGAAGAATTGGAGAAATATTTGACTTAAAAGAGACTAAATATTGATCATTCATGCATTTTCTATTTTAAATATTGTCCCTTGATATATTTTACTTAAACGGAAGAATACTTTACCGTCTATATACTCATTTAGATTTACTATATCTCATATTTTCAAAAAGAAAAATGCATGTGCACGGCATTTATATTCAATCTGTCTCACATTTTCAAAAAGAAAAATACATGAGTAGATAAATTAGTTAGTGCCAATTTTTTTATTAATGCATATTGGAAACAGAACGTCCGACTTAGGGCCGGCAACGTGAATCAAAAATGGTGAGTACTTTTTTTTTTTCAAACCTAAGGATTAGGCCAAATATTCGAATTTTAAAAACTTGGAGGACTAAAAATTAAAATAGAGAAATTATTAATAGAATGATTGAAATTGCAGATATGTCCCTCACTATGTTGAGTTTAGTGTTTATTTGAACCGTCACTATTCCATGCGTGTTTTCTTTGAAGACTTGGATTGTAACAACCAACACACTCTCACTAATCTTTTTTCTCTTCTTTCTTGCGTGATTAAGGTGTGTGTATTTGGTTTTTAATAACTTTTTTCTCTTCTTGTTCATTGTAAATATTGTGTTACTTTCTCATTGCAGCTTCAATTTCTGAAACAAAGATATTATTATGCAGTCTATTCACTTTACCGAAAATGTTGTAGAGAGCTTCAGGTTTGTGAATTTTTCAATCTATATTGCATGCTTTCTTTCTAATTTTACTACTAATTTTTCCTATTTATATTAAATTTCTTTAGGCTGATCCTTCAAGAGAATTGCCCCGACATATTAAACATAAGAGTCGATTGGAAAATATTCTTTCACTCTTTGAACTGAGTAAAAGCCAGATCACTGCTGATATGAAGGATCAAGCAAGAAAAGCAGAGGAATATATACGAAACGCTCTAATTGCTCTCAACAAGCAGGCCAACAGGCAACAGTCACCTGATGTGCAACCCAAGCAACTGTTTGGCCTGTCCAATTCTATAATTTCTCAACCGGTAATATTCGAAACATAACTATCACCATTTAGCGCAAGTATTACTAAACTTCATTTAACAACAAATTTCTTGGCAGAACAATATGGTTTCTCAAGATCACCGAGTTGCAATGCCAATTGGCAGTTCACAAGACAGTATTATAAATCAATCGCCAATAGTAAAAGGTAACCGTTAGTTTACGCTTTTTTGTAGAATTTTAAATGACCTTCTATGTTAGGTTGCTAGCAAACATTTATTTTTATATATATTTCAATCTTAGGCCAGTGCAATGCTGTCAAACAACAGACAAACATTGCACTCCAAGAATTTGGTGTAAAAAACAACGCTCCAAGAATTTCGGAAACTGAAGCATTTGGTACAAGGACCAACACTAGGAGGACTTTACCCTTGATTAAAGAAAGCAATGATCAAAATCAAGGATTTCACAACACTGAAGTGCAAAGTCATGCAATGCAGAAGCTGATTAGAGCGGTTGGCCTTTAAAACTTGTGTCTGCTCCTTATTTGTGGTTTCATTGACTCATAAAAGTTGTGTGCTGATACGTAGTAAAATCTATGAATCTGATATTGCTTTCAGTTGACTTCCGTTTCGCCTGAAGCACTGAGTGCAGCAGTTGGTGAAATCGAAGAGGTGGTTCATTTGAATGATGAAATACCAGAGATGGTTGATGAACAAGGACTACCAATCTACATTACTCCCGGAGGTGCGCTCTCGCCACTAAAATGTTAAATTTGCATTTGATATTGATGCATGTTCATTAGCAAGATTGTGACTTGCAATGATTTGTTCCCATAGGATGGAAAATGCCTCGCAGCTTTGTTGCAACCACCTTTGATACTCCTAGCATGCGTAAAGGTTTCGATCAGTTCACTTACACTACGGAATCCGACTTGAATTCTTTCACAACGAAAGAAAAAGGCTCTCTAACTGTGGTAATCCTTATATTTTTTACCATTGAAATCTACTAGAAAAGTATATAGTTATTTTTTCTCTTACAAGAATTTTGCTATCACATTGTTAACTTTAGCAGGAAAATCAGAATCTTTTAGCAGAAATAAAAGACATAAACAATCGATTGTTCGATTGTGATGTGGTTATCGCTGAAAAGGATAATGCTAAAAGTGCGATTGGAATAGGTACTGATCAAAGTGAAGGTTTAGTTGTTAAAATCTTGTATAATGCAGTGACTATCAATCAGAACCTTGTATCTCACTTTATTGCTAATAAAAAGGTGAATGATTTTATATTTGGTTTCAAACAATTCGGAAATAGAATTTTGATTTTCATCTCATTAACTATGTATATTGGCTCTGCAGTCATTGATCGAACCCCTACGATTGCTTATTCCTTCAAGTTATCCGTCCTGCTCTCTTGTTATTCTGGACGAATTGCCGTTGAAAGTCAGGTTAGAGACTATGATTCTATTCTCTTTCATTTATACCTTTGAGCAACTATGCATCTAGTTCTAAGTAGTTTAAAATTTACAAAAACTCAGGGATTATGTTTGTAATTTATAGTTGTTATATAATTTGAATTTCGTGCAGTGATGACGTGAGAGCTCTATCCGAGAAAGCAAAAGAAAAGCTGAGATTTAATGTTGGAAGAATGAACGAACCACTGTTGATTAAGGATATAGCAAGAGTGTGGGAAAGGTGTGCTAGAGAAGCAATTCTTGATTATGCACATGCTAATGGTGGTGGAACTTTTACCTCAATGCTTGGAGGTTGGGACGTCTGTTGATTCATTCTCATTTTTGCTGTTAGTTTCAGCCAGAAGATCCATTTATGTAGAAGAGTTTTGATATGGCGATACCTTTCGAGATGATCAACGGCATCAACGACCAAAAAAAAGTTGTGGAAGGTCGTTGTAAAGATACACCACAAATGGAAGGTTACTTCAACTACGAAGAAACATTTTGAGATTGTAGTTGTAGACAAAAATGCGAGTTACAATTTTCTTACCAGCTGCAGTTTTACTTTACCATATATTTGTCAATTTCGTAGGTTGGTGTTATGAGGTTGACATTTCTGTATTTACTAATCTATGTTATATGTTTTATGGTGTCTCGGTTCATATTTGTGTTGTTTAACGGTGTTTAATGGTGTATGTATATTATGGTATTTGTGGTTTAAGTTATTGTTGATGTTTTGTTTTATTATGGTATTTGTGGTGTATGTGTATGTTTTGTGATGGTTTGTTTTGTGGTTTATGGTATTTGTCGGTTTCTCGATTTGTCTCTTTATTGATTAAACTCATTTACATATTCCAGGATTAAGACATTCATGTCGTTGTTCCGATAATGTTTAGACAAGCTTTTGACTTGGCATTATCGGTTAACATGACTTGCATCATCTCAAACTTTTAAATTCAGCAAAATAATTTGATCTTTAGACCTACCAACTACAAATATCTCTTGAAATTCACCAGTGGGACAACCATAGAAAATATCGGCAAACACGACATCCGTAATAAGATCATTAACTTCACCCTATTTGTTGTCACCCTATTTGTTGATATCATATCAGGAAAATGGCATACAAATCTCCTTATAGGTATTGTTATATGGTATATATGTTGTTACCATTTTTTATTACATATACATATCCAATGCCTTATTGCTTTTCATTTAATTAGATGTCATAGGTATGGTCGACGAAGTCGGGTACTCCCAGTCGCAACCGGGGGGCAAGAAACCTCGGGTTAATTTAGTCTTGAAAGATTTAGGATATGTCATTTAATGTAGATGGTTCATTTTCATACATCATGTAACACCCTTCTAAACCCGCATATAATTCACATATAATTTACGAAAATAGTTCAAATAGAATCACCAACAAGGATGTCACATCTTCATATAAACCTGATACATACATATCTTGCTCCGTAACACGGGTTTTTAAAATCAATTATAACAAATACTTCATGAATAACAACAATGACATTTCAACTTCTCGCAGTAGAATTCATAGTTTCAAAACATTATTGTTAAATATTTCATAGGAACTTCATCGTGCTTCATCGTTTACAATTCATAAATTAAATAACTTCAATACCATGAAAGGTAGTTCAAAATCTCAAAATAAAAGAAAGAACATAATTATCTAAACAGACGACTCCAACCCCGATGTTACATATCAAAGTAAGGCCCACTTATTCAATAGAAAATAAAGAACCACCCCAAAGCTATCCTCTAAGCTTCAACGGACTATTCCTGATTACCTGCAAGTTACCAATGTATGAGGAAACATTTCCAAACAGAAAGGGTGAGTAATCACAAATCATTATAAAAAATATATGAAATAGATATAGTAGTAGCACAACAACAAATCATAATAGATTCCACATATAATCATCTGTTGTGAATTCAATGCCAATAACAAAGTATCGAATAAGGAAGAATAAAAAACAAAGGAAAAAGAAGAACACAAGAATTGGTTATAACTGCTATTCTTTACTTTCTCTTAGGAAACAAGATTACAAGTTTACAAGAATAACAAATAACCCTCTCACCCTAAATTAGGATTTGCTGTGATGGCAATGATGAGAGACTAGTATGCTATTTATAATAAAACCTAACATACTAACTAATGGGCTTTTTCCACAAGGCCCATTATACAAGCTAACTTAACAAACAAGCTAACTTAACAAATTAGGGTTTAAACACTAAAACCTAATTCGACAAGCATCCTTCGACAAATACATGCTAGAACCTTCTTCGACTACAACAAGTACTTCGACCAACTAGAGTTCGATCCAAAATCCCACAAATCTCCACCTTGGACCTAACTCTACAGCATCAAGAGACACTAACTAGCTTTCTTCATGCAGCTTTATCAACTGCATACAGTGGAAAAACTTGCAACTTGGCAATGTTTTGGTGATCATATCAGCAGCATTGTGATCTGTCGAGACCTTCAGCACTTGGACTTCTCCACGCTCGATTACCCCTCTGACGAAATGCAGCCTCACATCTATGTGCTTGGTTCGCTCATGATAGGCTGAGTTCTTCGACAGGTGTATTGCACTTTGACTATCACATTTAACAGTGATACCTTGACCTTGAAGTTTTAGCTCCTTCGCAAAACCTTCAAGCCACAATGCTTCTTTCACAGCTTCAGTTAAGGCAATATATTCTGCTTCAGTAGTTGATAAGGCAACAACCTTCTGAAGAGTTGCTTTCCAACTAATTGCTGTACCAAACATAGTGAAAACATATCCAGAAATAGATTTCCTGGAATCCATACATCCTGCATAATCAGAGTCAACATAGCCTTCGACTGCTGCTTTACTATCTTCACCCAAGGCTCCACCATAAATTAAGACTCTGTTCAGAGACCCATTTATGTACCTTAGAATCCACTTTAACGCTTGCCAGTGAGCCTTTCCAGGATTCGCCATGTACCTGCTTACAAGACTTACTGCATATGCTATGTCGGGTCTAGTACAGACCATAGCATACATCAAAGAACCAACTATATTAGCATATGGGATGCTGTTCATATAGGTTCTTTCGACATCAGTACTGGGACATTGATCAATGCTCAGCTTGAATTGAGGGTTTGTTGGAGTCACAACAGGCTTTGAATTCGACATACCAAACTTGTCAAGAATCTTTCGTAGGTATGCCTCTTGAGATAAGCATAATTTCGACTGCTTTCTATCTCTTCGAATGTCAATTCCAAGAATCCTAGATGCAGCTCCCAGATCCTTCATGTCGAACTCCTTATTGAGTTCAGCCTTCACCCTCATAACCTCTTCGACATTGTTGCTTGCTATCAGAATATCATCAACATAGAGCAACAAAATAACAAATGAATTTTCAGGTCGAAATCTGGAGTAAACACAATGGTCGAACTGACTTCTAATGAAACTTATGTGTTCCATGAACTTGTCGAATCTCTTATTCCACTGTCGAGGAGATTGTTTAAGTCCATATAAAGATTTCTTCAGTTTGCACACATAATCTTCTTTCCCCTTTTCGACATACCCTTCAGGTTGCCTCATCAGGATTGTTTCGTCTAAGTCACCATACAAGAACGCAGTCTTCACATCCATTTGTTCCAGTTCAAGGTCGAACTGAGCCACCATGGCAAGCAACATTCGAATGGATCTGTGCTTCACAACAGGGGAAAATACATCATTGAAGTCGACACCTTCTTTCTGAGTGAAACCCCTTGCGACTAATCTTGCCTTGTACCTCTTCGACATTACTCCTTCAATTCCTTCCTTAACTTTGAAAATCCACTTACAGCTGACTAACCTTGCCCCAACAGGTTTCTTGATCAGTTCCCAAGTGTGATTATCATGAAGAGATTTCATCTCATCATGCATGGCCTTTAGCCATTCAGTCTTCATTCGACTCCTTATAGCTTCCTTATAATCTCTAGGTTCTTCGTCTAGAACTTCACTTGCAGAGATTAAGGCATAAGCTACAAGATCTGCATATCCAAGTCTCTGAGGTGGTTTTATGACTCTTCTTTGCCTATCTCTCGACAATAGGTAGTCATCAACAGTTTCCTCAACATCATCAGAATATTCTGTTTCTTCTTCGACTTCATCTGGGATACGCATTTCAGCATCAACATGCTCCACCTCAACAGGAATCTCTACCTGTTCCAGCTCTTCGTCAACATCATCAGTTTTCTTGAAAGCCATTTCAGTTTCATTGAAAACTACATCTCGACTGGTGATACACCTCCTGTGACCTGGCTCTAGGCACCATAGCCTATAAGCTTTTACTCCTTCAGGGTATCCCATAAACATGCATTTCAGAGCTCTAGGTTCGACCTTGTCTTGCCTAATGTGAGCATAGGCTACACAGCCAAATACTCTTAGTTTGTCGAGATCTGGTGGATGTCCCGACCAAACTTCTTCAGGTGTCTTCATATCTAACGCTGTCGAAGGACATCTGTTTATCAGATATGCTGCAGTCGAAACAGCCTCAGCCCAAAACACCTTCTTTAATCCCGCACTAGTCAACATGCATCTAACTCTCTCCAAAATAGTTCGATTAAACCTTTCAGCCAAACCATTTTGTTGTGGAGTACCTGCGGTAGTTCTGTGCCTTGCAATACCAGAGGCAACACAAAAACTGTCGAACGCCTCATTGCAAAACTCAAGGCCATTGTCGGTTCTCAACCTTTTTACCTTTCTGCCAGTTTGATTTTCAACAAGAGTCTTCCAACTTTTGAAATTCTCAAAAGTTTCATCCTTAGTCTTCTGGATGAATACCCATAACTTTCTGGAATAGTCATCTACTATGGATAGAAAATACTTTGCTCCTGAATGTGATGGACACCTTGCAGGCCCCCAAAGATCAGCATGGATGTAATCAAGGGATCCATGTGTTCTTTGTTTGCCTTTGTTGAACTTCATTCTACAGGATTTTCCAAGTACACAGGGTTCACAAAACTTCAGCTTTTCGACTTTATCTCCACCAAGCAGATTTTGTTTCCCTAATTCGACCAGACCCCTTTCACTGACATGGCCCAATCTCATGTGCCAAATTTCTGTCTTCGACAAAGGTTTCGTGGATGCAACATTTGTCGAACCACTTACAACTTCAGCCTCAAGGGTATACAAGCCTTGTTTCTTCACGCCTCTCAAGACTTCCTTCGACCCTTTCATGACTCTCAGGATACTTTTCTCTCCTTGAAAAACATATCCTTTCTTGTCGAATTCACCAAGAGAAATCAAATTTCTCTTCAAATCAGGTACATACCTGACTTCAGTCAACAATC